CAGTTTAACTTGTTGTTTCGGTAGTTTACCTTTCTGCATTTAAATGTCACTGCAAATACTTTGCGAGACAGTGATAGCGAGGTAGTTAATTTATAATGAATTATGCACTAGTTCTCTAATTCGAAGTAGTAAAGTTTCTAGCTCTAAATAGAGTAAATTTGTTTGTTTGTTGCGTAGTTAGTGATGTGTTTTTAACAATTTAAAGTAAAAGTAGATGCATAATTTCTGCATTTATTTGCCAAAATGAGCATAATTTACAAATACCAGCATAATTATTGGCATAATTTTAGAAATATATGAACACTGCAAGAGGCATATTATGCCACTCTTGCAAGCACAATCTATCATAGCCTCTCAGGTACTCATTTTTTAGAGAAATCCAACATAAAGCATAAAACAACCAAATCTGCCCATAATTTTTGCAGAACCACAAGAAACAGATGGCAAAAAGACAAATTTCAGCATTTTTGTGTGAACCGATTCGTGAACCATCCGTAACAAGCCAGTGTTGGATCCAGACCTTCAGATAAGGGGGGGGGGGGGGTGGAGGGGGCGATCATCCAGACCTTCTCTATCTAAGTGATCTACCCGAATTTTTAAATTCATTAAGCTCAACCGATATTCTGCTTGATGACTCTGAAAGATCTATAAACTGTTTATTATATGCGGATGACTTACTGATCTTTTCGCGGTCAGCAGATGGCCTACAAACACTCCTCAACAAGCTGGAATCCTACTGTGAGAAAACTGAACTAACGGTAAATCTAGACAAAACAAAGGTTATGATCTTTAATAATTGTTGCAAGTCCTTAAATAACTACTCGTTTAAGTATGGAGTAAATAAACTAAACAATGTTAAATCTTATAAATATCTGGGATGAATGACACGGAACCCGTATGGAAATTTTAGTTTGGCTAGAGAGGAGTTAAAAAAAGTTGGGCTTAAGGCACTTTATAAACTAAGAAAAAAGATGGATGACAACTGTAGAGAAAATATTATGCTGACGATTAAGCCATTCGATGTTCTGATATTCCCCATACTTCTCTACGGAAGTGAAATTTGGGGTGTTGACTGTAACGACCAAATAGAAAAAGATCCCGCAGAATTAGTTCAAATTAAATTCTTGAAATGGTTGCTAGGTGCATATAAATACTACAGCAACAATGCATGTAGGGCTCAAACAGGAAAATTCCCAATAAAAATGGAAGCACAATATAGGAATTTTAAATTTTGGCTAACTCTAACCAAACACCCAAAACCCAATTTATCACAGGTGGCTTATAATGGACATAATGATATGAAGTCGAGGATGAATAAGGAATTAAGGTGACTCGACCCAGTTTTTGGGGGGGGTTAACATCCTACTTTGAAGCTCCCTGGTATCCCTACCTTTACTTTTATCGTAAGTCTAACACATAGAATGGATAACATATAGATCAATCTACAATATAACATAAAATTTTTGGCGATCGGAGTAAATGTCACGTGGTTATAATGCCACGCCAATTGGAGGTCTGAGTCGAAAATCTGCTGTTGCCGGCATTTTTTCGTGAAAATCTCTCGGCTACACATAGTGCGCATTAGTGCCTTGCGCTGAACAGAGTTTCACCAAAATCGCAAAGACCCAATTCGAGAAATTCAGCGGTTTCCAAATTTAGGTCATAATTTATGCGAAAATGATAAGCAAACTTTACACGGATTATATCTAATAAACTATGAGATTCATCTCTGTATTTTGGGCATCGTTATAACAGATGGGTCCTTGCAAGTCAGCAAAACAATTTAGGGCCTTGTAAATGCGCGCGATTTTGAGCAAAGCAAACATATAGAAATTATAGTTTTCGCTACTTGTTGACGTTTGTCAGCGTTTCAGAGTCAATCTCACGAAAAAAGCATTTTCGTAAAAATTCGTAGTTTTTTTCCTTCAAATTTTTTCAGGGCCACAACTGATTAACTAACTACCCAGACTCTGAATTTCATGGTCATTGAAAAACTGTGACATTACCTTCTATAAGCCCAAACTTGAGTAAACATTGAAGATTTTTAGCGTTTTGGCTGAGTTTGTGCTTTGGGAGTTGTCTATTGTTTCTAGTCTGTCATTATACAGCATTCTTGTTCAGCACGCGTGCAATGACCACGCTTGGCTGACTTCCGAATGCTCACCGAGATATGATAATTTAGTATAAGAAAATAGAAGGGATTCCCGTCACGAGATGGTTTGATTATTGGCTTGCATTAAACCTATGAAAAAATGATTTTTTTTTTTTTAATAGTAAGTAGATTTAGTGTGTAGCACTTCTTGATTTTTTTGCAAAGGCACAAGAAGCACGAGAATTGATTAAAAATTGTGAGTTAAACCTCTATGTATCACGCGATGGCCTGTCTAACTGTACCAAAATTATCATATCTGGGTAAGCATTCGGAAGTCAGCCAAGCGCGGTTATTGCACGCGTGCTGAACAAGAATGCTGTATAATGACAGACTAGAAACAATAGACAACTCCCAAAGCACAAACTGAGCCAAAACGCTAAAAATCTTCAATGTTTACTCAACTCTGTGCCCTGCGTATCAAGAAAAAAGAAGTACTTAATCTGAATACTTAAACAAAGAATACAGAATATCAGTAAACAGAATGGCACGAGATGATGTTTTTCTGTTTTCTGTTAATAAACCCTTCGAGCAAGAACAAACCAGTGCAAAAGTTAATTGCAAAACATGTATTCGACTGCTATGAGAAAAGAATATCATTAGTTCTTTAGGTTAACATTGATTATAGTTCCACTAGTGTGCGATTTGTGTTATAATTTTAAATTATTTGGATAAAGTCGATGTACATAGGACTGTATAAGACTCTAAATAAAGCATTGTCTTGTCTTGTCTTGTCTTGATAAGGGGGGCCCGGTCTCAAAAGAAAATTTTCGGTCCTTTGGGCCTCAGTTTGGTCTAAAGTAAGGGGGGGCCGGACCCCCGGGCCCCTCTCCTGGATCCGCCACTGCAACCCCCTTTCGAATCCACGTACTTTAATACAGCAAGTGACGTCATCAGTTTTAATAGCCATAGACAACTTGATCATTAGCAGGGGAAAGAGATCTTTAAAACTAAATCCCGAATGGGTATGATTCAGTCAAGTAGGCCAGAGAACAATGCTACTAAAATAAGGGGTGCTTTGATCAGAATATCTCAATGAGATCCAGTTCCATAGCCCATCGTTACTTTCTTTAAAATAATTTCCCAATCTTCGGAAGTTTTACGAAAACTTTCTCGCCACCGAAATGAAGCCTGGTACGTAGCAAAAGAAAAAGGCGTAAAAAACAAGCGGAGTACGAAAAGTAAACGTAGCGGCGAACACGTGTTTTTGTGCGCTGCTAAAAATTTAACTTTCCTGCTTAGAAGGTTTCGTATGAGGAGGTGATGTTTGATCAAGCGTACGAGGCCTTTTATTGGAGGCTCTCACCATGCAAATCTATCTCGCTATCTGCAAAGTCATTCGTGTTGCACAGCGGACTAATTAATGGCGAACATCTCTTGACAGTAGAGAGGCTGCAGTAGTGGCTGTTGATTCAAGCAAGGCATTCGATTCTGTTTGCCTTCCACTTTTGTTAGCTAAATTGAAAGCGTAGGGTTTTACAGATCTAGACGATGCTTTGGAACTTATGACTGCTTATCTTTTAGGAAGTAGACAGAGTTAAAATTAATGGTTTTTATCCTCTCTTGTGGAGAGCGATAAATGCCGATGTACCACAGGGGTCCGTGCTTGGCCCTTTGTTTTTTAATTTCTAGGTGAAAGATCTCAATTACTTTGTGTGTAATACGTCTTTGAGACTGTATGGCGACGATACGACTGAATATGCCTCGGATACCTCTCCAATGATCTTGCAGCTAGCTGATCTTTGTGTCCTATCAAGCTGATTTAAATGTAATTACTTAAACACTGATAGTAGCAAAAAACGCAAGCAGTTAATTGCCGTCGGGCCATATGAATATGAATTTCATTTTAATGATAGTACTTTAGAGACGTAAGATACATTTAAGATTCTTGGGGTGATTCTAGATAGCAAATTGAATTTCAAAGCCGCACATAGAAGAACAGCTTAGAAAAGAGACTACGCAAATTTAATTCGAAGGATGCAACAGTACGTCTCTGTACGCGCTCTCACGTTTGGAATATTGTTAGTAGTCGTCTTCTTTTGGGTATTGGTAATGTCGATCGTAGAGGCTAATAAAGTGGATAATACTGTGTTCGAAGCGAGGAAATAACGCTGGCGTAGGGTTCATTGTTCTTAGTCGAAAGCGTATTTGCGAGAGTTCTTAAAAAGTTCTGACAGTCGAGTCCCATGCCCCCGTTTGTACCAAACACCAGTGGTGTAAAGGTTCCCATCTCTACATCCATCACTCTCTGGTTGTATTTCTTCTTCTTCTCGTTTTCTTGCTCTTTGAAGATCGTAGCTGTGTACTTGCCCTGGTTGGACCGGGAGTTAACATGCGTTGCACCTACGTCAAAGAATGCCATTACTCCTAGTGTCCAAAAACCTCCTGCCTTTATATCCAGCCTCGCTTCTCGACTTGTAACAGTGGACTGAAGGTCAAATACTTCATTGTGTCGAGTGGTTGCAGGAGTGGCTCTGTCTCCATATTTCTGCACACTTTACTGATGTGTGATGTCAGAAGATCTCGGATTGTATCATGTCTCTGAGGTACAAAACCTCCCTTCTTACATGACAAAGCGTGGTTGACAGTAAACATTTCTCCACAAGCACAGTAACTAGGGAGATTAGGCAGAGGGAGGTTGTAGCGAAGGCAAAGGGAGTCCCTTAACTCCTGCCTGTTCAAAGCCAGTCCGAGTTCTTCGATTGGAATAGCGTTTAGCCACGAGCTGGCTCCCTTGTCCCAGTGTCTTCTGCACCGCTTGGGGTAGATAAGGAGATAACGATTCGTCAATCCTGTCAATCCGGGACTTTGCAGCGGCTCTCCTTTTAGCATTGATTTCACACTTCCTTTCCTACATCAGCTCTCGTGCTGGAATGGTGGAGCTTTGAGTAACAATAGAATTGACGTGTGGTGCTGTTACATCGAGCGAGGCATTGAACTGCTCCAAACTTTCGCGCTTAAGATCGGGAATCCCAATCCCACCCTGCGCAGGTGATAGTCTGACAAGTTCCGTAAGTTCTTCAGGAAGAGGCTCCGCTCGTCCGAAAAATGAAGGAAGAAAGGAACTGTGAATCACTTTTTCGATGGGGTCCACATACTCTTCAAACGATTCGATGGTGCGCAAGTAATAAGTGAATTTGGATTTAAATCCTTTTGTGAAAGCGACATAGGCAGCGTGGGGCTGGCTCTTGCTGATCTCCGCGAGGGACTCCATCTCTCTGAGCCACTTATCAACTTTCTCTTGACAATATTGATCTTTAAACTCTTTTGATCCGATGACCGCACCAAGATGACGTCTTCCCTCGAGCGTTATGTTCACTGCATCGCCAAACACCTTCTTTGCACTCTCTGCCAGTTCACTGGTCTTGACGATTAACCAGCCTTTAGCACCATTAACGATATAGCCGAATTTTAATAGTTGATATCCAATCTAATTTTAGAAGGATTTTAATTTTATCTGTAAATGTTATTTGTAAACATTATCTGTAAATATTAATTGTAAATATCATTTTTAGCGTATTAGTATTTTAGATTGCTCGTTGTTACTTGATTAGTTTTTATTGGTTTATTTTATATTTACATTTATTTTATCATACACGCACACGTTTAACGAGCACATCTGAGCTGGTAGGTGTTACGTGGTTGAATAAATTTGATGATTGTTGAACAGGAAAGGACGTTATGTTCTCGCTCAACAGAGCCTCCTAGAGAGCTTGCTCGCAAGCTAAAACTAAATGTTTCCCATAATTATTATCACGTCACAAATTCTTGCCACGCCCATTGTTGTAATCCATCCAAATCTATCGTTGATACTTACATATTCAGCATCACTTCAACAGAGAAACTTCAATTCCAGAGTTTGTCTTTGGATCTAAGCCTTCATCATTTTTCAAAAGGCATGTAGCTCGATGACCTCGATCAAATTTTTTAAAATGCAGAAACGATCAGGTCCAGTTACGTTAGACACCATCACCAACCATAATAAAGTTAAAGTTATAAACAAATTAAGTTGGCTACATATAAATGACCTCAAAATTTGAATTTAGGAGCTTTCTATTTTTCTCCAAAATTATACTGTCATTTTGTACCCTGTCAATACTGCCTTTTAACGTTGCCACCAAAAATTTAACGTTTTGGCGTTTTTTTTTTCCTAGATAGTAAACTATGTTTGGGAATGCAAGGGTGACATCTTCATGTTTCCTGTTTCATATTCAGTCTGAGTTCTCTGTTGGAATCATTGGGCATGGAATCTTCATAGTGACGAATCCTAGCTACTACAGAATTTAAAAAGCTACAGTCACGTTATTGATAATCACCGAGAATGTACTATCTCCAAATCACCACTTCCCAGTGGCCAAATATCATTCTCTCGGGCAGAAATAATTCATTAAAAGATCACAGCAGCTTTATACATACCAGCCGTTTTCTCTTACATTTTCTAAGAACAACCCAACGATGACACAAAGGTACGAAACTGAGATCCGCCTCAATACAGTTCTCAAGGACAACAGTCACAATAGGGACCATCTGACTGTATTTAACTAGATACTGCAGGAAAGTTTTAGAGGTTTTAGCACCTCCAAGTCTTCGTAATCGTGACCAAAATCCCATATTCCTGAGAGCTAAAACATGCCATTTCCAGTTCTTATTTTACTCCCATCAGGATTCTCTAGTAAATAAGATGTGCAGAAACAGTTTCGAAATAATAAAAATTCAATGGTAAATGAGTAAAGATGTATTTAATATAATCATCAACGTTAAGCGCATTGCTAAGACTACAACTGATAAAAGAAAAACCTTTGGAGCTACTTAGCGGGTGTAGCATCAGTTCAGTAGATCATGCTGCAAAACGAGACCAGGGAGCCACCTTTCTTTGTAGTAAAAGTGATTCTGAGCTACCAATAAGCTGCGGGACGTTTAGTGCGCCGCGAAGCGAGAAAACAAAATCACATTCCTTAGTCGACAGAAGAACAATACTCCACTGCAGTTGAGTTACTCGACGTTTACTTAGATACGTGTTTTTTTCTGGGTAATTCGTGTGACCTTCGGAGGTAATCTTCGATCAGGCAGATCAGGGGTCCTAACGTACGTTTACACAAATATTCCGCCTAATCGAAATTCTTGGGCACAACGTACATTGAACAATAACTTAATTTGAGCTTGTGGATGAAGGAGCAGCTAAAAAGTACATTCAAATCATCTGGAGAGACTAAAAAGAGCATAGAAATCGTGTTACTTAATAAGACGGACGACAACCCACATTTTCTAGAACTTCCTAACTCGACAGAATGGTAGGGACATTCGATTTTCCAAAATGAATTTTTCGGTTTTTGTTATTGGCTTTAACGCACCAGCAAGTGACAATTTCTCTTGTCTGGGCCTGGTCGCAGGTCGAAAATGTTCACGCTTTGTCATTTGGTAGATACCTGACACTCACATTCCAGCTCGTCTTTCTGGCGACTTATGCAGGACTCAGAATCACTTGTAGAGTTTGTAATCAACCGAAATAAATAAAGAAAATGGATTAAGATACCCCGACACCCAGCTCAATACGAGACATAAACAGCCCACATAAGCTGGACATAGTTTAATTGTTAGGAGTGACATTGCTACTACTCATTTGCCATGACGTCAGTCTTTTTGACACCTGGGCAGAGATAAGGACACAAATACTATCAGCTGAATACGAAAACCAACAACAAGAATAATTACAAATAAAACAATAGTTTTAATTACCACGTGTGGGTGTAAGAGCAGTCTGTACTAAGTAAGAGATAAGATACGATAATTTATTAAACGTCAAATACACAGTGAGTGGTTATCCAGTCTCCCGAGCTGAAGGCTTATGTTAAAAGTGATTGACAGTTAAAAACTAAGAATTAGAAAGGCTAAAAATCTAAAACAGGTTAAGTAGAATCAATGCCGCATATTGATATTTAGCCAAATTGATAACAGTGGAAAGCTAATTTAAAATACAAATAGAAAAATTCCTAGCTATGTTTAAAATACTAAAAAAATGTACACAATCAATCACAACTAATTAAGAAAAATATCAAATGCAGTCAGTCATTGTACTGACATCCAGTAAAACTCTGATTCTTTAAGTGACTGCGAAAGGATGCAAGCTAGGGATTACACAAAGACAACGCTACATGTTATGTACAGTCGAAAATCTTTCAAACAGCCTTCCACAACTTAGCGGCCAGTCATCAAAAGCGTCAATAAATAAATCACTGGAAGCCAGACCTCAATTAAGAGGTCAATTGTCCCTTCCCCGAAATGAGATTGTAACTGTTTGATTGACGTTCGACTGTAGTTGTGAAATAAAACTTGAAAAAACTGAATGTGTTGTCATCGTTTGGGGGTGCGCAAAATTATAACATACTTTATTAATTCGTTTCCTATTGGCTTAAACAAACAATACACAAATCAACAAATAATATAATCTTGTACTGTTTAGCGTGAGACGCTCAAAACAGGATATCTCTTTTTGGCTTTTCCAGTTATCTTCTATGAAATTCTGCACTGACACTTCGCTCTTTATTCAAAACCGCGCAAAGCAAACTTACGGCGTGAACTAAGCACTTACTAGGCAATCAGATGCGAGAAAATTCTTAAAAGGCTTGCATCATTGAATATTTGTGTCTAGTTCATTGCTAAAATTGAGGGCGAAAATGCCGTTAACGCTGCGAGCAAATCATAGTGGAGTAACTTTGCTCTTAATGTTATGATAAATGTAACGTGACAATATCAGTGCAATTAGAGAATACGAAATACAAAGGTTCTTTTGGAGATTCACAAATAATACTCCGAAGACGACCCGCTTGCCTGTCCTTCACTTACAACTGTTATTCTAGTAAATACAAGGATTATAATCATTACGATTTCCCTCATTTAAACATTACTTATTTACATACTTGTCTTTGTCTTCCTCCTCCTCCGCATCATCAATATAATCATCCTGACAGTCAATTTATCATCATTATCATACTCTACCAAAACAGTTCAGTAGTTGTATTTACGTTGCACACACCGGACAGTTCAGCAGCACCAGAATCATCAACAATATCGTTCCAACTCAAATCCAGCTAAGTTAACGTGCAGTGGGCTTCAAGAAACTGGAATGAGGAAGCAGCACTAGAATCATCAATGCCGGTCCACCTCAAATCCAGCTTAGTTAAGGAGGAGTTGACTGCAACGGCCTGGGAAAGAGATGCAGCACCAGAATCACCAATGCTGTTCCCACTCAAATTCAGCTTAGTTAAGGAGGAGTTGTCTGCAAGATCCTCGAGATGCTGAACCAGAAGTACCAATCAAGTTGCTACTCAAATCCAAATTTGTTAAGAAGGAGTTGACTGCAGGAGCCTGGGAAAGAGATGCAGCACCACAATCACCAACGTTGTTCCCACTCAAATCCAACTTAGTTAAGGATGAGTTGTCTGAAAGAACCTCAGAAAGAGATCCAGCACCAGAAGTACCAATCAAGTTGCTACTCAAATCCAAATTTGTTAAGGAGTTGACTGCAAGAGCCTGGGAAAGAGATGCAGAGCCAAAATTACCAATATCGTTCCCACTCAAACCCTTCAGGGCGGAAAAACGTAATTAGCACGCGTGAAATTTATTGCCCAGATCCCCTGGCCGGGTTTGGATAAATGGCGGAATTTCAAAAAAATTTTTGCCTAATAATTAAACATTTTCTCTCTTAACCTGGAAAGAACAAGCAATTTGTCTTCAAAAGATGCAAGCTGTCGTTATAACCTTTTCAAGACTTAATTTACTCGAAGAATACCTAATAGTGAAACGGACTTTAATGATATCAATTTCCTTGCGTTGTACTGGAAATGTGCATTCGTAGGTCCGATTTTTTTCAAAATGCATTCACAAAATGTGTTCATATAAGGAAGTTCCTGGATATATGTAAGGTCCAGAAGCCCAAAAACAAAATATCTTTGTCAAGTGATTTGCCCCCAAAAAATAACGCATGCCCACAATGTGTTTGAAGTCGGTAAACTTTGTCGCACTCAAGCTGATATTTTAAACCCACGCTCGATTGGACACTTTTCTTGCAGCTTCGCAGATCACCAAAAATATAAACAAATCCTCTATGTCAAGTTTTGGCGTCGATATGTGGGCAGAAAAAGAGTCAATCTTTATCTAATCGGTCTCAAAGCAACTATACACGCTTTTAATAAGTCTGGGCGCCATCTTGAATTT